CGACAGTAAAATAAATACCTTTTCCCGTTCAGCTCCTCTAAGGACAGTCCTTGTAAGCCTCAGGCTGTGGAAAGTGGTTGGTCAAAAAGCTTGGAAAGAAAGAATCCTAAGGTGGAGGGGACGGGGCCTTTTGAGTATCACATGAGATAATGCCAAAAATGCATTTTGTAGCCCCCTCGGTGCTAACGTCATTGTAGCTCTTATTAATGAGCCAGGGAATGAACCGAGACCTCTCAATGAGAGCCAGCGGATAAGACGTGTGCAAGGATATTCCGAGGAGGAAATTTCAAAAAGAAGAAAACCCGTTCCTCCTGAGATCTTCCTTCCAAACCAGGCTTTGGGTTGGTCGGGGATATCCGAGAGCGTTGCGCTCAATCCAGACTGACCTCAAGGCGGCAGCAGTGAGCAGAGTGCCGGGCGGATGCACAGTCCCGCCCGAAGCCGAAGGGGAGGAAGTACAGCCCCAGGAGTGAAGGCTCCCTCTGACCCCGCCTCCCTTCGCCGACGGCCAATCAGGATGCAGCTGGCAGGACCAAGGCGGGGGGACTAGGAGGAGCGAAGACCCGAGGACCCTTAATCCACCGCCAGGCGGTGTCTAGTTATGTGTTCGATACCTTTCCGTGTTGGGACTTTGTTGTTCAGACAAAAACCGAGTACAACACTTTGGAGAAAGATCTCGCAGTTTCATATAAAACTAAATACACAACTACTCTGTGACCCAGAATTTCTCACCTAAGTATTTATTCAAAATAGGGCCAGGCGCGGTGGTTCACGCCTGTAATCCCAGCACTTTGGAAGGCCGAGGCAGGTGGATCACGAGGTCAGCAGATCGTGACCATCCTGGCCTACATAGTGAAACCCCGTCTTATATTTAAAAAATAATAATAAAACAATAAAATAAAAGAAATAAAATAAAAAATTAAAACAGAAATCCAGGCTGGGTGAAGTGGCTCACGCCTGTAATCCTAGCACTTGGGGAGGCCGAGGCAGATGGGTCACTTGTAAGGCGTTCAAGACCAGCCTGGTCAACATGGCGAAACTTCGTCTCTACTAAAAATACAAAAAATTAGCCAGGCATGGTGGTGCGTGCCTGTAGTCCCAGCTACTCGGGAGGCTGAGGCACGGGAATCGGGTGAACCCGGGAGGCAGAGGTTGCAGCCTGGGTGACAGAGGGAGACTCTCTCAAAACAACAAATTGGGCCTCCCTGGTGGCTTGCGCCAGTAATCCCAGCACTTTGAGAGGCCAAGGCGGGCTGATCAACTGTGATAGGGAGTTTGAGACCAGCCTGAGCAACACAGACAAACCCTGTCTCTACTAAAAATACAAAATTAACCGGGCGTAGTGGCGCGTGCCTATAATCCCTGGGCAAGAAGAGCGAAACTCCATCTCAAAAGAAAAAAAAAAAGTGAGAACTAAGTGTGAAAGAAAGTAGGAATGATTAATTACTGCCTAATGGATGAAATTTCTTTTCTTTCCTTTTTTCTTTTTTGAGATGGAGTCTCGTTCTGCCGCCCAGGCCGGAGTGCAGTGGTGTGTTCTCGGCTCACTGCAACCTCCGCTCCCCAGGTTCAAGCAATTATCCTGTCGCAGCCTCCCAAGTAGCTGGGACTACAAGCTCAAGCCACCACGCCCAGCTAATTTTTTGTATTTTTAGTAGAGACAGGGTTTCACCTTGTCAGTCAGGCTGGTCTTGAACTCCTGACCTCAGGTGATCTACCTGCCTCTGCCTCCCATAGTGATGGTATTATAGGAGTGAGCCACCACCGCGCCTGGCCTGGATGAAGCTTCTATATGAAATAATGAAAACATTCAAAACTACGTTGTGGGGGAAAGTGAAAAAAATAAATAAATAAATCATGGTGATGCTTATATATTTGAAATGTACTTAATGCCATGAGTTATACATTTAAAAATAGTTAAAATGATAATTTTTTTTTTTTTTTTTTTTTTTTTTTTTGAGACGGAGTCTCACTCTTGTTATCCAGGCTGGAGTGCAATGGCGCGATCTCGGCTCACCACAACCTCCACCTCCTGGGTTCAGGCAATTCTCCTGCCTCAGATCTTGAGTAGCTGGGATTACAGGCACGTGCCACCATGCCCAGCTAATTTTTTGTATTTTTAGTAGAGACAGGGTTTCACCATGTTGACCAGGGTGGTCTCGATCTCTTGACCTCATGATCCGTCCGCCTCGGCATCCCAAAGTGCTGGGATTACAGGCGTGAGCCACCGTGCCTGGCTAAAATGATAAATTTTTTTTTTTTTTTTTTTTTTTTTTTGAGACAGAGTTTCGCTCTTGTTACCCAGGCTGGAGTGCAATGGCGCGATCTCGGCTCACCACAACCTCTGCCTCCTGGGTTCAGGCAATTCTCCTGCCTCAGCCTCCTGAGTAGCTGGGATTACAGGCATGAGCCACCATGCCCAGCTAATTTTTTTTGTATTTTTAGTAGAGACGGGGTTTCACCATGTTGACCAGGATGGTCTCGATCTCTCGACCTTGTGATCCACCCGCCTCGGCCTCCCAAAGTGCTGGGATTACAGGCTTGAGCCACCGCACCCGGCCCTAAAATGATAAATTTTATGTAGTGTCTTTTTCAACATTTTTTTTTTTTTTTTTGAGACAGAGTTTCACTCTTGTTACCCAGGCTGGAGTGCAATGGCACTATCTCGGCTCGCCGCAACCTCCGCCTCCTGGGTTCAAGCAATTCTCCTGCCTCAGCCTCCCGAAGTAGCTGGGACTACAGGCACGTGCCACCATGCTCAGCTAATGTTTTGTATTTTTAGTAGAGACGGGGTTTCACCATGTTGACCAGGATGGTCTCGATCTGTTGACCTCGTGATCCACCCGCCTCGGCCTCCCAAAGTGCTGGGATTACAAGTGTGAGCCACTGTGCCCGGCCACAATTTTTTTAAATAAAAGTTTGAAAGTAAGAAAAATTAAAGGAAAAAAAAAGTGGCCGGGCATGGTGGCTTACCCCTGTAATCCAAGCACTTTGGAGGCCAAGGCGGGCGGATCACCTGAGGTGGGGAGATCAAGACCAGCCTGACCAACATGGTGAAATCCCGTCTTTTTTTTGAGACGGGGTTTTGCTCTTGTTACCCAGGCTGGAGTGCAATGGCACAATCTCGGCTCACCGCAACCTCCACCTTCTGGGTTCAGGCAATTCTCCTGCCTCAACCTCCTGAGTAGCTGGGATTACAGGCACGCGCCACCATGCCCAGCTAATTTTTTGTATTTTTAGTAGAGATGGGGTTTCACCATGTTGACCAGGATGGTCTCGATCTCTCGACCTTGTGATCCACCCGCCTCGGCCTCCCAAAGTGCTGGGATTACAGGCTTGAGCCACTGCGCCTGGCCGAAATACCGTCTTTAAATAAATAAATAAATAAATAAGTTTGAAAGCCAAAACAAAAAAGCATGTTGGGAGAAAATCCGTGGGGACATTCTGGTGCCTTCTCTTGAAGCAGTCTGGGGTATTGCACACAGAGACAGGGGTCAGGGGATTGGCTTCCCCTGCTGTAAGTGTGCTAGGATCATTCTAAGCAGAGGGCAGTAGGAAGAGAAAACACAGGCTTTGGAAGCAGACCTGAGTTCATAATCCCAGTTCTTTCATTTTCTCCCTATGTGGCTGTATGTTTCTTATTGCTATGGCTGCTATAACAAATTATCATACATTTAGTGGCTTAAAACAACACAAATTTATTTTTATTTTTATTTTATTTTATTTTAAGACGGGGTTTCACCGTGTTGGTCAGGCTGGTCTTGAACTCCCAACCTCAGGTGATCCGCCCGCCTTGGCCTCCAAAGTGCTTGGATTACAGGCGTGAGCCACCACGCCCGGCCTATGTTTATTTATTTATTTATTTATTTAGAGATGGAATTTCACTCTTTTTTTTTTTTTTTTTTTTTTTTTTTTGAGACGGAGTTTCGCTCTTGTTACCCAGGCTGTAGTGCAATGGCGCGATCTCGGCTCACCGCAACCTCCGCCTCCTGGGTTCAGGCAATTCTCCTGCCTCAGCCTCCTGAGTAGCTGGGATTACAGGCATGCGCCACCACACCCAGCTAATTTTTTGTATTTTTAGTAGAGACGGGGTTTCACCATGTTGACCAGGATGGTCTCGATCTCTTGACCTCGTGATCCACCCGCCTCGGCCTCCCAAAGTGCTGGGATTACAGGCTTGAGCCACCGCGCCCGGCCGGAATTTCACTCTTATGGCCCAAGGTGGAGTGCAGTTGCACGATCTCAGCCCACCACAACCTTTACCTCCCGGGTTCAAGAGATTCTCCTGCCTCAGCCATCTGAGTAGCTGGGATTACAGGAATGTGCCACCATGCCCGGCTAATTTTGTATTTTTAGTAGAGACAGGGTTCTCCATGTTGGCCAGGCTGGTCTCGAACTCCCGACCTCAGGTGATTCACCCGCCTCGGCCTCCCAAAGTGCTGGGGTTACAGGCATGGGCCACCGTGCCCGGCAACAACACAAATTTATTATCTTGTCATTCTAAAGTCAAGAGTCTGAAATGTGTCCTACTGGGCTAAAATCAACAGCTGTGTTCCTTCTAGAAACTTCAGGAGATAATCCATTTCCTTTCCCTTTCCAGCTTCTAGAGGCCTCCTGCCTTCCTCGGCTTAGCCTGTAGCCCCTGCCTCCATCCTCAAAGCCAGCAGTAACATCTTCACATCTCTCATTCTCTCACCTCTGCTTCCTTTGTCATATCTTCTCTGACTTTTCTGTTTCCTTCTTTCCTCTGTGATTACATTGGGCCCACCACAGCCTCCTCCTACCACGCCCAGCCGTCCACTGGATTTGGTTCGCTCGGCCACCACCATAAACCTCCTTCCACAGGCAGGCAATTAATTGGTACAGCCCAAGCTCCAGAGTAGAAACGCAAAGAACACGCCCATTGTTACTCCCCTACCTCTGATTGGCTGGATAATTTAAAGATCCAGTCGGTGATTGGGTGATTTTCTGCCTCTAGTATTTGAAAATTTTCTAGTTTCGGAGCTTCGCCATCGACCGGCTGCGATCGGCTTGTTCATCTGAGTGTCGACACGAGTGAGTGTCTGCCGGAGCTACGAGGTGGGGAGCAAAGAGTCTGATTCTTCTAGGGGTTTCCCGCCGGGAGTGTGCAGACAAGTGAGTCAGCCGCAGGAAGCACGGACTTTATAGTCCCAGGGTCCCTCGCGATTTCCCTAGCCGAATATTTTCCACCTTGTCCCCACCTTGGTGGTGAGAAGCGCCAGGGCATGGGAATCACACTGACTTTGACTACTAGTCGCTGTGGCTCATGATGGGCGAGTGAGTTTCCCTCTCCTAGACCGTTTCCGCATCTGTACACCGGGAATAGTGAGATCTGCCTGCTGCATATAAGCCAGTGAATGTACCTGCAAAGCAGAAGGCGCTTATTACCTGGCAGCCCTCTTTGCATTTCCCCACGGACGATTCTTCTACTTCCAGGGGAGAGGACTTTGAGGATTCCTGTGCTGGCCTTGGGTCTCTGGGAAGGAGGATTCTTTCAGCGCAGGGAACCCCTTCTAATGAGGCCCTTGCAGGACACCTGAGGCGCCCAAATCCTGGGTGCTCATCAGCTCCAGAATTGTAGTGTAGCAGGGTGTGTGTGTGTGCGCGCGCACACACACACACACACACATAATATATGCATATGTATGTTTTGTTTTGTTTTTTTTAAATAGAGGGTCTCGCTATGTCTCTATGTTTGTTGCCCAGGATGGTCTCGAGCTCCTGGGTTCAAGTGATCTTCCTTCCTCAGCCTCCCAAAGTGTTGGAATTAAAGGCGCCCGCCACCACAACCGGCTGATTTTTGTATTTTTAGTAGAGACGAGGTTTCACCATGTTGGCCAGGCTGATCTCGGAACTCCTAACCTCAGGTGATCTGCCCGCCTCAGCCTCCCAAAGTGCTGGCATTACAGGCGTGAGCCACCGCGCCCGGCCCATGGTACACTCTAAGAGTGGAATTTCGGTTAGCCCTAAAGTCCTTTCTCCGTCTTTGTGACTTCCTTGTATTACCTGTGACAGTTCTCGTGATCCTTTGTGGCCTTGACGCTGTTCCCTGTCACGCCCTCTATAGCACCCACTATGTCCCCTGAATTCTCATGACCCCTGGGCTCCGTTCTCTTCGCAGACCTGCAGAGGCGGTGGCGATGCTTTCGGGCACGGAGGCGGCGGCAGGGGACTACGAGGACTCGGAGCTGCGGTGCCGTGTGTCTGTGGAGGAGCTGAGCCCGGGCGGGCAGCCGCGAAGGCGCCAGGCCCTGCGCACCGCGGAGCTGAGCCTGGGTCGCAATGAGCGGCGCGAGTTGATGCTGCGACTGCAGGCGCCGGGGCCCGCGGGGCGGCCGCGCTGCTTCCCTCTGCGCGCCGCGCGCCTCTTCACGCGTTTCGCCGCAGCCGGGCGCAGCACCCTGCGGCTCCCGACTCAAGGCGCCCCGGGGGCCGGCGCGGTGCAGCTGCTGCTCTCGGACTGCCCCCCAGACCGCCTGCGCCGTTTCCTGCGCACATTGCGCCTCAAGCTGGCTGCGGCCCCGGGTCCCGGGCCCGCCTCTGCCCGCGCACAGCTGCTGGGCCCGCGGCCCCGCGACTTCGTCACCATCAGCCCTGTGCAGCCTGAGGAGCGGCGGCTCGGGGCGGCCACCCAGGTTCCGGACACCACCCTGGTGAAGCGGCCTGTGGAGCCCCAGGCTGGGGCCGAGCCTAGCACAGTGAGGACCGGAAAGGGAACACCCTTAGGAGTGGATGTGCCATTGAGACCTAGAGGCCCAAGTTTGGGGGGAAGCCGGTGTGGGTATTTGAGGGCGCGGCTGGTTGTCTTAGATACCCATGGGACATCTGAGTATGACAGGGGTGCGGAAATGGTGCCAGTGGTCGTTAGAGTGTAATACCTGAGACGGACTAAGACAAAACAGGAAATAGGACCTGGCTACATTAAAAGAGAAAGCAAGGCCGGGCGCGGTGGCTCAAGCCTGTAATCCCAGCACTTTGGGAGGCCGAGGCGGGTGGATCACGAGGTCGAGAGTTCGAGACCATCCTGGTCAACATGGTGAAACCCCGTCTCTACTAAAAATACAAAAAACTAGCTGGGCATGGTGGCGCGTGCCTGTAATCCCAGCTACTCAGGAGGCTGAGGCAGGAGAATTGCCTGAGCCCAGGAGGCGGAGATTGCGGTGAGCCGAGATCGCGCCATTGCACTCCAGCCTGGGTAACGAGCGAAACTCCGTCTCAAAAAAAAAAAAAAAAAAAAAAAAAGAGAAAGCAGAGGCCGGGCGCCGTGGCTCGTTCCTGTAATCCCAGCACTTTGGGAGGCCAAGGCAGGCAGATCACCTGAGGTCAGGAGTTCGAGACCAGCATGTGGCCAACATGGTGAAACTAAAAATACGAAAATTAACCCGGCGTGGAGGCAAGCACCTGTAATCCCAGCTACTCAGGAGGCTGAGGCAGGAGAATCGCTTGAACCTGGGAGGCAAAGGTTGCAGTGAACTGAGATTGCACCACTGCACTCCAGCCTGGGCGACAGTGCGAGACTCTTCCTAAAAAAAAAAAAAAGAAAGCAGAGGAGAACTGAAAGGAGACTCCAGAAGAATGCTAGGAGAGGGTCGTAGGCCCAGAGGAGAGGAGCTTTTGGAGAGAATCAAGTGGTCATTCATGTCGTGGGCAGCCAGATGAGGGGAACAAAGACTGGCAGATTTGACCGTTTTTGTGGGCTGGGGTAGGTGAATCATACACAGCTAAGCTTTGACACTCACTAAGCTGGCAAGAGGACAGAGATAGGACAAGAAGCGGGCCTGGCTAGGCAGGGTTTTGCTTGGGTGTTTTGAGGTGAGAAACAGGTTTGTGATAGGAAGAGAGACTTAGGTGACTGGAAGGAAACTTAGATGACAGGATGAGAAGGGTTAGGGAGCCGAGAGGAAGGAACTGAGGGTCTGGACCACACGGGGTGGTCTGCCCAGGACTGGACAATGGGGGTCTTCAGGGCACAAAGAGAGACCTGGACCCCAGTAGTTGCTGACAGGCTCTCCAGGTGAACCCAAGAGCTCCAAGAAACGAAGGCAGCAGAGGACAAAGGGCTACCAGGCCCAGCATTGCACATGGGCCAAAAAGGGTGGGGACAATGCCTAGCTGGTGGGAGGATCCTCTGAGATACCTCTGTTCCCCCAGGAAGCCCCAAGGTGGCCCCTGCCTGTGAAGAGGCTGCGCTTACCCTCCACCAAGCCACAGCTTTCTGAGGAACAGGCTGCTGTGCTGAGGGCCGTCCTGAAAGGCCAGAGCATTTTCTTCACTGGGAGTGCAGGTAGTTGGGGCAGAGAGCGGGTAGGGGGACAGTGGTGGGGTGGGATGGAGGAACAGTGAGCCCTACCTAACTTTGTCCCTGTCCAGGAACAGGGAAGTCATATCTGCTGAAGCGAATACTGGGCTCACTGCCCCCCACAGGCACTGTGGCCACTGCCAGCACTGGGGTGGCAGCCTGCCACATCGGGGGTACCACCCTTCATGCCTTTGCAGGTAAATGGGAACCCCAAGCTAAGAGCAAGTCCAGCTTCTGGGAAGGGAGAGAGGGGAAGTCTGCATTAAGAGGGTTTTGGGGGCCGGGCATAGTGGCTCACGCCTGAAATCCCAGAACTTTTAGGGGGCCAAGGTAGGAGGATCGCTTGAGCCCAGGAGTTTGAGACCAGCCTGGGCAACATAGTGAGACTGCATCTCTACACAGAATTTTAAAATTAGCTGAGCATGATGGTGTGTGCCTATAGTCTCAGCTACTATGGAGGTTGAGGTGGGAGGATCGCTTGAGTCCTTGAGGCCAAGGTTATAGTGAGCCAAGCTCTGCCACTGCACTTCAGCCTGGGTGACAGAGATAGACCTTGTTTTGAAAAAAGGAAAGGAAAGAGGGTTTGGATATTAGCCCAGGCTGAATAGTGTCACTCACAGGCATCGGCTCAGGCCAGGCTCCTCTCGCCCAGTGCGTGGCCCTGGCCCAAAGGCCAGGTGTGCGGCAGGGCTGGCTGAACTGCCAGAGGTTGGTCATTGACGAGATCTCAATGGTGGAGGCAGACCTGTTTGACAAACTGGAGGCCGTGGCCAGGTCAGTATGTTCAATGGGCAGCAGGTAATTACTGGGACCTGGTGGTCTTCCGTGTGCCCCTAAAGCGCCCCACGCTCCTCTCCAGAGCTGTCCGGCAGCAGAACAAGCCATTTGGAGGGATCCAGCTCATCATCTGTGGGGACTTTCTGCAGCTGCCACCTGTGACGAAGGGCTCCCAGCCCCCACGGTTCTGCTTCCAGGTACCACTCACCTCCTAGCCCTGCGCTCCATTGGGGGGATCTGCTCTGCTCCTTGACCCAACCCCACCCTGCCCCCACCAGGCCAAGAGCTGGAAAAGGTGTGTGCCAGTGACCCTGGAGCTGACCAAGGTGTGGAGGCAGGCAGACCAGACCTTCATCTCTCTACTGCAGGCCGTGAGGCTGGGCAGGTGAGCTCTGCCGGATGGGGAAGGGGCCATGGGATGAGGATCCAGGCATGGGCCAGAGTGGAACGAAGGGAGGGATCCAGGGAAAGGGGGACAATGCTCGCCCTCAGGAGCAGGCACTCCATGCAGGAAAAGGAGCCTTGGGCAGGGCACGGGGCAATTCAGGATGGACTGTAGTCAAGAGCTTCATGGCCCCATGGGAGGTGGTCGCTCTGTGAGTGCTGGGACCCAGCCTCCCTCAGGGTTGGGTCCCTGTCACCTAGTACAAGTGCTGGCACAAAGTAGGTGTCAGGGAAGGAAGGATGGACAGACACAGGAGGAATTCAGAGATGTTAACAGCCTATTTCACAGATGGGAAAACTAGGGCTCAAAGAGGTGAAGTGACTCACCTGAAGTCATGGCCAGTAAGTGGTTGGAATTCGTACCCAGGGCTGACTCCAAAATTCAAGTTCCTTCTGCTCGTAGAGCTTGTGGAACCCCTGAGTGGAGGAGGGGAGGTTGCAGACATGATCTCTCTCCAGACAGAGCAAAAGGATGAAATGTAATGACAGACAGGAAGGGGAAGAGCCCACACTGGCATGCATGGAGGGCAAGAGGAAGGCTGAGTGGCAGAGCAGGCAGAGATGGCTCCAAGCTGTTCCATCTTCCCGCTTGAGTCGGTGCTGCACCCAGGCTTCCCAGTGGAGGAAGGCTTGATACCGGGGAAATTAGAAACACAAGCTAGATTGTTCACCTGAGGTAGTAGGCAAGTGGCTAGAAGATTGTACCCTGGCAGCCAGTCTGGGTCCTGCAAATCTCCAGTCTGTGCTCACTCATCATAGCCAACGTCCTCAGGAGCATTATGGGGCAGGAAGGTGGCCAGCTCTGACCTGGGGGCAGCACAGGGAAGCGTGCTCACCCATGATCAAAGCTCAGTATCCTGCCCGTGCTTATTCTCCATGTTTGGGGTCCAAATATGGAAGGCACACGTTGGCCAGCTTGGGGAGCAGCAGCTCTTCCCTGGTGCCCTCTTCCATTCCCAAGGCCTGACCCATGGCCTGCTGCTTGAGCCATCCTGCCCATGTTCCCCACTTTCCCTGCTGTATAGGTGGGCTCTGCCCTGACAGCTCAGCCCCCACAGGTGCTCAGAGGAGGTGACCCGCCAGCTCCGGGCCACAGCTGCCCACAAGGTGGGGCGAGATGGGATTGTGGCCACGAGGCTCTGCACCCACCAGGATGACGTGGCCCTCACCAACCAGAGGCGGCTGCAGGAGCTGCCAGGTGAGCAGGGAACTGGGCTGGGCAAGACCAGCTGGGAGGGGTATTATAAGCAGATGTGGCCCCCAGGCAACCTGGGCCTCTGGGACCTTAGGCTCCCAACCTCCATGGCCATAAAGGCTCTTATATTTGCAAATGCAATTGTGACTTTGAGAGGTACGATGCACTACATTCCACAGCCACCCAGGCCTGTGCTGCCTCTACTCCATAACCCGGTATTCTGGTCTGATAGTTTTTTTCTGGACACTGAGCCACAAGTCAGTGATTTGTGATCTGTTGCTCTTTTTCTCCAGGTAAGGTACACAGATTTGAGGCTATGGACAGCAAACCTGAGCTAGCCAGTACCCTGGATGCCCAGTGTCCCGTTAACCAACTCCTTCAGCTAAAGCTGGGAGCCCAGGTGAGTGGGAAGCAGGGCCTAACACCTGGGAGCTTGGGCTGTCCTGCATGGGCCTTCCTGATCCTTACCCCTCTGCCCAGGCCACTCTGCAGCCAGTGGGCCCAGCTTTGACCATATTGAAAACCTCCCTCCCTCCTGTTCCCACCCACCTTCCCATCTTCAGCTTTTCACTGTTCTCTTCCTACACCTGGAGGTCCTCCAAGCAGTATTTCTTTGGGCAAGTTTCCTTCCCTTGCTGAAGCTCTGTCCCCTCATCCCTAACCATGGGGAATGAAATACCTACCCCACACAGCTGTCTTCTGTGGTATACTTCATAGGTGGGAGAGAATCCTGATTCCTCCCACGATGTTGGAGGTGGGTAGAAGATTTCCCATAGGTCCCAAAGGGAAAATGGAAGCACAGAGCATCTGAGAGTGGTGGAAAGACCTTGTCCCTCAAGATTTGTGGTCCACAGATGTACCTATAACAGAGCTGATCATTTTCAAAGCCCTGTGATAGAATAGAGGTTGCCTTAACTGATCCCTTACCACCTCCTTCTGGGGCAAATTGAGCAAATGTTATTTCTCTTTGACATAAGGGAAAATTGGGACCGAGGAAGATAAGGCAGCTTGTCCCAGGGGTCACAGGCAGCCAGTGGCAGAGCTAAAGATTGGGATTCAGTGTCCCCATGAGAGCTCCCTGCCCTCAGCCTCTGAGAACAGCGATGGCTAAGCTAAGGCCAGGCATGGGTAGGGGGGCTGCTGTCCATTCCTCTCTCTCCCTTGCAGGTGATGCTGGTGAAAAACTTATCGGTGTCTCGGGGCCTGGTGAATGGTGCCCGAGGGGTGGTTGTCGGGTTTGAGGCTGAAGGGAGAGGTAAGTGTTGGGAAAAGGTGGCAGACCAACTGCGGTGCTTTGCAGCATGGCCCTGGGGAATGGTGGGGGAGAAAAAGGTTAGGAAGGAAAGCTCTAAAGGCCCCTACTCCTCACCTCGGAGCCCTGAAGAGCTAAAGTCAGACTGCTCCATGTCCTCTGTAGGGCTACCCCAGGTGCGGTTCCTATGTGGAGTCACTGAGGTCATCCGCGCTGACCGCTGGACAGTTCAGGTCACCGGGAGCCAGCTCCTTAGCCGGCAGCAGCTGCCCCTCCAGCTGGCTTGGGCAATGTCCATCCACAAGAGCCAAGTGAGCACCGGTGTAGGGGGTGGGGACGGGGCGGGTAGAGGGAGGACAGGCATATTGGGGTCTATGCAATTGGGGTCTCTGTCTTTTTTTTTTTTGAGACAGAGTCTTGCTCTGTCACCCAGGCTAAAATGCAGTGGCACAATCTCGGCTCACTTCAACCTCCACCTCCTGGGTTCAAGCGATTCTCCTGTCTCAGCCTCCTGAGTAGCTGGAACTATGGCACATGCCACCACGCCCAGCATATTTCTTGTATTTTTAGTAGACACGGGGTTTCACCATGTTGGCCAGAATGGTCTTGATCTCCTGACCTCATGATCCACCCGCCTAGGCCTCCCAAAGTGCTGGGATTACAAGTGTGACCCACTGCACCCAGCCCAGAATAAACCTTTTTTTAGTGAGTTTCCCAGCCTACCTCCTCTCACTTTCCTGGACACATTCACTTCGCCTCTGCCATCTGCTCCCCTACCATTTTCTAAGCCACTACTAGATAAGTTAAATTGTAAAAATTGTACACAACCATTGTATAAAGTATAGATATAATGAATAATCAACCCTATTTTGCACAGAAATCAATCAGGGCTTAGAGAGGTTGAGGAGCATGTCCCAGGCCACACAGTTAGTGAATGGAAGCCTGGATTCAGCCCCACGCCTGTCTGACTCAGAGCCTGAGTGCTTTCCTTTCACTCCATCCTTCAACTCTTACCTGGATCTATGTCTCCCAGTCCCCTCCTACTCAGACAGTCACCTGCTGTCATGCCCTCCCTGTCTAGAGACTCTCTGGATGAGGAGATACAGGGGCAGGAGCAGGGCTGGTAAAGGGTCAGGCCTGGCTGGGTGCAGTGGCTCACACCTGTAATCCCAGCACTTTGGGAGGCCGAGGTGGGTGGATCATTCTGGCCAACATAGTGAAACTCCATCTCTACTAAAAATACAAAAACTAGCTGGGTATGGTGATGCACGCCTGTAGTCCCAGCTACTTGGGAAGCTGAGGCAGGAATCACTTGAACCTGGGAGGTGGAGATTGAAGTGAGCTGAGATGGCGCCACTGCACTCCAGCCTGGACGACAGAGCCACTCCATTTCAAAAAAAAAAAAAAACGGCGTCAGGCCCTATGGGGCAAGGGACTTCAGGCTGAGCTGGCTCCATCTGTCTCTGTATCCCCCAGGGCATGACCCTGGATTGCGTGGAGATTTCTTTGGGCCGAGTGTTTGCCAGTGGCCAGGCCTACGTGGCCCTTTCCCGGGCCCGCAGCCTGCAGGGCCTACGTGTGCTGGACTTTGACCCCATGGCGGTTCGCTGTGACCCCCGTGTGCTGCACTTCTATGCCACCCTGCAGCAGGGCAGGAGCCTCAGTCTGGTGAGAGGGAGTCATCTAATTTAAGCTCTGGGACCATGGGCTGGCTAGGAACCAGGACAGAGGGAGGGCCCAGTGGGACCTGGGTTGGGGGCAGGGGAGCCCTCTGCTGGCTCCTTTGAGGGTGAGGGAAGAGGAAAGAGATGCTGGCCCCGAGGCTGTAGCCCTGAGGAACAGCACAAGCCCATGACTGGGCTTCTCTGGCTCTGATCCAGGAGTCCCCAGATGGTGACGAGGCAGCCTCAGACCAGGAGAACGCGGACCCAAACCTCTGAGCCTCACCTGCAAAGAGAAGACAAAGGGTGGCCTCCACGTCCTCCTGCTCCTTAGTGGGCCAGGGCCCCGGGGAGTAACTGGAGGAGGTGGCCAGTGTCCCCTTCTGTATTTTTTAGGGGCTCTCAGCCTCCCAGCAGGGTTAAATGGAGAGTGCTTTCCACCCATGTGCCAGCTGTGTTTCAGTTTCTCTCTTTTCCCTGGGTGAGCTGCTTCAGGGTCAGAAGTAACCCTTACTGTGACAGTCGAGAATGAGCCTGTGTGGTAGCTGGTGTCAGAGGACAAAGCTCTCTGCAAGGGCTGGACACAGAGCTGCAGAATCCTCAACACCCCTCCTTTTGGGCTGCAGAAGGGAGAGGCAGTGAAAACGGGTGCTCTGGAAGTAGAATCAGGCCTCTCTTGGAGGGGACCGGGGAGCACTCAGGCTGGATACAAACAGAGAGTGGAACTTAAGTGCGTCTCCACAGCTAGGCCCAGCCCAGCCCAGCCCAGCCCAGCCCAGCCCAGCCCAGAACAAACACCCTTCCGAGCCTACCCTGAGAACATAAGCTGCAAAATGTGCACCCATATTTTAAGCTGCTTTTTCAGGGGATGAATAGTGTTTGGGGACATTGAAAAATGGGTGTTCTCAGGTTGTATTTATTTTGGACAAATAAACTAGTGAATTGGTAAGAACTGTGCCTCCTGCCTCCTCTCTCTCCCTCTCACTTGTGCACGTGCACACAGGTGTTTGTTTAGACCACAATGGCTGAGATCACAGCACCCTTCTGTGAGGTGGTGTTAGTATCACTGCTCATAGGCTGGGTGCAGTGACTCACGCCTGTAATCCCAGCACTTTGGGAGGCCGAGGCAGGCGGATGACAAGGTCAGGAGTTCAAGACCAGCCTGGCCAACATAGTGAAACCCCATCTCTATTTTTTTTTTTAAAGAAAAGAAAGAAGGCCGGGCGCGGTGGCTCAAGCCTGTAATCCCAGCACTTTGGGAGGCTGAGGCTGGTGGATCACAAGGTCAAGAGATCGAGACCATCCTGGTCAACATAGTGAAACCCCGTCTCTACTAAAAATACAAAAAATTAGCTGGGCATGGTGGCGCGTGCCGGTAATCCCAGCTACTCAGGAGGCTGAGGCAGGAGAATTGCCTGAACCCAGGAGGCGGAGGTTGCGGTGAGCCGAGATCGTGCCATTGCACTCCAGCCTGGCAGAGAGCGAAACTCTGTCTCAAAAAAAAAAAAAAAAAAAAAAAAAAGAAAAGAAAGAAAGAAAGAAAAAGAATAATAAAATGAAAAAAAAAAAAGAATAAAGAAGAGGAAGAGGGAGAGAGAATGGGGGTGTTGCTTTATTGCCTGGGCTAGATTGCAGTCTAAAAATGGGTATGCCTATAATTGTGCTTAATAATGGAGACATGAAAAAAATGAGGGAAGAAAATAAGCAGCCAACCAATCTTTCATTTAAACCTGTAAGTAGGTATGATGTGGTACTGATAAGAGTGTATATTTTGTATATTTAAGGTGGAGAGCTCTATAAATGTTAATTAAGTTTACTTGTTCCAGATCTGAGTTCAAGTCCTGGATATCATTGTTAATTTTCTGTCTCGGCTGGGCGCGGTGGCTCAAGCCTGTAATCCCAGCACTTTAGGAGGCCGAGGCGGGTGGATCACAAGGTCAAGAGATCGAGACCATCCTGGTCAACATGGTGAAACCCCGTCTCTACTAAAAATACTAAAAATTAGCTGGGCATGGTGGCACATGTCTGTAATCCCAGCTGCTCAGGAGGCTGAGGCAGGAGAATTGCCTGAGCCCGGGAGGCGGAAGTTGCGGTGAGCCGAGATCGCGCCATTGCACTCCAGCCTGGGCAACAAGAGCGAAACTCCGTCTCAAAAAAAAAAAAAAAAAAAAAAAAAAAAAAAAAAAAAAAAAAAAAAATTTCTGTCTCGTTGATCTGTCTAATATTAATTTTGAAATCTCCCACTATTATTGTGTGGGAGTCTAAGTCTCTTTATAAGTCTTATACATCTGGGTATTCCTGTATTGGGTGCGTAATATTTAGGATCTTTAGCTCTTCTTGTTGCACTGATCCTTTTATCATTATATGATGTCCTTCTTTGCTTCTTTTGATCTTTGTTGCTTTAAAGACTATTTTATCAGAGGCAAAAATCGCAACTCCTGCTTTTTGTTTATTTTTGCTCTCCATTTGGTTGGTAAATCTTTCTCCATCCCTTTGAGTCTTTATGTACCCTTGCATGTGAGATGTGTCTGGATGCAGCATACCGATGGGTTTTGGCTTTTTATCCAATTTGCCTGTCTGTGTCTTTGAATTGGGGGATTTTGTTGATTTAAATTTAGAATTAATAATAATTTATGTGAGTTTAATACTACCATTTAATGTTAGCTGGCTGTTTTGCCCATTAGTTTATGGGTTTTTTTTTTGTTTTTTTTTTTTTGAGACGGAGTTTCGCTCATGTTACCCAGGCTGGAGTGCAATGGCGCGATCTCGGCTCACCGCAATCTCCGCCTCCTGGGTTCAGGCAATTCTCCTGCCTCAGCCTCCTGAGTAGCTGGGATTACAGGCACGCGCCACCATGCCCAGCTAATTTTTTGTATTTTTTTTGTATTTTTTTTTTTTTTTTTTTGAGACGGAGTTTCGCTCTTGTTACCCAGGCTGGAGTGCAATGGCGCGATCTCGGCTCACCGCAACCTCCGCCTCCTGGGCTCAGGCAATTCTCCTGCCTCAGCCTCCTAAGTAGCTGGGATTACAGGCACGCGCCACCACGCCCAGCTAGTTTTTTGTATTTTTAGTAGAGACGGGGTTTCACTATGTTGACCAGGATGGTCTCGATCTCTCGACCTCGTGATCCACCCGCCTCGGCCTCCCAAAGTGCTGGGATTACAGGCTTGAGCCACCGCGCCCGGCCCAATGTATTTTTTTTTTTTTTAGTAGAGACGGGGTTTCACTATGTTGACCAGGATGGTCTTGATCTCTTGACCTCGTGATCCACCCGCCTTGGCCTCCCAAAGTGCTGGGATTACAGGCTTGAGCCACCGTGCCCGGCCCAGTTTATGTTAATTCTTCATTATGTTGATACTCTTTTTTTTTTTTTTTTTTTTTTTTGAGACTGAGTTTCGCTCTTGTTACCCAGGCTGGAGTGCAACGGCGCGATCTTGGCTCACCGCAACCTCCGCCTCCTGGGTTCAAGCAATTCTCCTGCCTCAGCCTCCTGAGTAGTTGGAATTACAGGCACGTGCCACCATGCCCAGCTAATTTTTTGTATTTTGAGTAGAGACGGGGTTTCACCATGTTGACCAGGATGGTCTCGATCTCTTGACCTCGTGATCCACCCGCCTCGGCCTCCCAAAGTGCTGGGATTACAGGCTTGAGCCACCGCGCCCGGCGATACTCTTTACTTTTTGATATTTTTTAGAAAGGCTGATACTGTTTGTTCCTTTCTATGTGTAGTGGTTCTTTCAGAAGCTCTTGTAAAGCAGGCCTGGTGGTGATGAAATCTCTGAGTGCTTGCTTGTTCACAAAAGATTTTATTTTTCCTTCGCTTATGAAGCTTAGTTTGGCTGGATATGAAATTCTGGGTTGAAAGTTCTTTTCCTGGCCGGGCGCGGTGGCTCAAGCCTGTAATCCCAGCACTTTGGGAGGCTGAGGCGGGTGGATCACGAGGTCGAGAGATCGAGACCATCCTGGTCAACATGGTGAAACCCGGTCTCTACTAAAAATACAAAACATTAGCTGGGCATGGTGGCACGTGCCTGTAATCCCAGCTACTCAGGAGGCTGAGGCAGGAGAATTGCCTGAACCCAGGAGGCGGAGGTTGCGGTGAGCCGAGACCGCACCATTGCACTCCAGCCTGAGTAACAAGAGCGAAACTCCATCTCAAAAAAAAGAAAAAAAGACTCAGAATTGTTCCTCTCCATGGAAATCTTTAGTAAAAGACTAAAGACTAAAGATTTATACGATTTGAAGAGAAACCAGAGTATGGCTGTTTAAGCACCCAGGTACTGGCAGGCTGAGGCCAAAAAGGGCGTCAGCCCAGACCTAGCTTTTCATCTTGGTTTTGATATTCTCCATCTGTGTGACTGTTGCCATGTTACACAACCTCTCTGTGAGGATTTCCTCACCTATAAAATACCTATAAAGCGTCAGAGGAAAGGGTTCCTTTCACATAGGGTTATTAGAAAGGCCAGCCACATGGCAGGAATCCCATCAGCTGTTATTAACATCTGTGATCACTATGATGTTTGTACAGCACAGTTCTGTCTGATTCCTATACTGGCTCCTGTGGCAGACAAAATGCAGAGGCTCAGAGAGGCGCCAGCCTGGGCCCCTGGAGGACCCCTGACCATCTCACTCTAGCCACCACCCTTCCTGTCCTTGAGGAGTCAACTGTTTTCTGTGGTACAATCACTTTTCTCTATTCCAAACAGAAGACACTGTTAGGAGCAGAAAACAAGCCCAGCAGAGTGATACCCACTTCGCCACCCTACAACAATTGGGCAACCATGGGAGTCTTTAAATGTGGTGCCATTTATATGTCAGATGTTCCCAGTTTCCCCATACAACACATCCCTCCTCCCAGGCCCAGAGGTGAACAGGTCTCACTAAGGCCCTGCCCTCAGGGCACTTACAATCTGGTTGCAGCTTGCTTCTTTCACACTTTCCTTCCACTGAACACACAGTTTGGGGACCACCCACTTCAGCCCAGATAGCACTGTCTCATATTCTCAACAGCTCTGCACCCTTTGGAGTTCTTGGATGGAAAGAGGGAAACTGACTCAAGATCATTGAAGCAGAAAAGGAAGATAACCACAGACTGTCTCTAAGATCTGATATGAAGTCCAGAAAACTAGGCTTAGAGACAAATAGGAATCCGAAAGATTAGAGCCACTGGCAGTAGAGCTGGAAGCAGCCAGACCAGGAAGACCTTTGCAGCCACCACCAGACACCGAGCACAGCAGCCAGGGAAAGGAGCTCTGCACTCTGCTACCCCATCCCCCTACTCAGTCCAGACCTAAAGGTGGGCATGGGGCTGGTTGACCTTGGTCATCCTGTGGCCATTGACAAGAGGCTGAATGTTTCGTTTTTTTTTTTTTGTTTTTTTTTTTTGAGACAGAGTTTCGCTCTTGTTACCCAGGCTGGAGTGCAATGGCGCAATCTCGGCTCACCACAACCTCCGCCTCCTGGGTTCAGGCAATTCTCCTGCCTCAGCCTCCTGAGTAGCTGGGATTACAGGCACACGCCACCGTGCCCAGCTAATTTTTTGTATTTTTAGTAGAAACAGTGTTTCACCATGTTGACCAGGATGGTCTCAATCTCTTGACCTCGTGATCCACCCACCTTGGCCTCCCAAAGCATTGGGATTATAGGCATGAGCTACCATGCCCAGCCTGGTTCTGGTTCTTTATTTTCTTGACACCTAATTTAACTTTGAATCTGTGTCCCGAGGAGTGCAGGAAAACCCTATCTCAGTCAGACGGGGGTCAAGGGAGCTCATCAATCCCCAGGGTCCCATGAGAGTGGGGCTTATAGGAGCCGTCTCTCATCTTTAGGGCCCGCACTGATCAGCATCCATAGGCAGTAACTCACCCTGAGCCCTGGGATGGGCTGGGAGGCTTTCTGAGACTCTCCAGGTACCTTGTGCCAGGCGCTCTGGGCCCCTGCCACCTCCCCGTGGTGCTCCCAGGGAACCCTCTAGCCACTCGCCTCTCCCCAGTCTACAGAACCCTCCTTCTCTCTGCCTCTCCTTCCCCCCAGCATCATCCTCTCAAGGAATTGGACCTGTGAAGCAAAAGCCAGGAAAGACAGTGTCCTCTGGAAGCTTCTGGATTTCAGGCAAAGAAGCACAGGGAGAGCCGTGCACGGTGGCTCACACCTGTAAACCCAGCACTTTGGGAGGCTGAGGTGAGTGGATGACTTGGGATCAGGAATTTGAGACCAGCCTGGGCAACAAGGTGAAACCCATCTCTACCAAAAATAGATAAAATTACCCAGGCGTGGTGGTGCGTGTCTGTGGTCCCAGGTACTAGGGAGGCTGAAGTGAGGGCATCATTTCAGCCTGGGTGGCAGAGGTTACAGTTAGCCGGGGAAAAAAAAAAAAAAAAAAAAAAAAAGCACATGGAAAGGGGCAGATAGCAAGGGAATTAATAAAAAAATGAGGAAAGCCGGGCGCGGTGGCTCAAGCCTGTAATCCCAGCACTTTGGGAGGCCAAGGCGGGTGGATCACGAGGTTGAGAGATCGAGACCATCCTGGTCAACATGGTGAAACCCCGTCTCTACTAAAAGTGCAAAAAATTAGCTGGGCATGGTGGCACATGCCTGTAATCCCAGCTACTCAGGAGGCTGAGGCAGGAGAATTGCCTGACCCCTGGAGGCGGAGGTTGCGGTGAGCCGAGATCGCGCCATTGCACTCCAGCCTGGGTAACAAGGGCGAAACTCCGTCTCAAAAAAAAAAAAAAAAAAAAAGAAATGAGGAAAGTAGAGAGCTTACCATTAGGCAACCAGAAGGATCTGCTACCTGCCCAAGAAAGCTGCCCTCATGCAGCAGGGTGTGGGTGGAAAAACTGCTTTCCTGTTCTCTCAACAGCAACTATAACCAACACAGACATGCTGGGTGCTTGGCTCATGCTTGTAATCCCAGCACTTTGGGAGGCGGAGGCAGGCCGATCACAAGCTCAGGAGTTCAAGACTAGCCTAACTAATATGGTGAAACCCTGTCTCTACTAAAAACAAAAATTAGCTGAGCTTGGTGGTACCCGCCTGTAATCCCAGCTACTCAAGAGGCTGAAACAGGAAAATGGCTTGAACTCAGGAGATAGAGGTTGCAGTGAGCGGAGATCGCACCATTGCACTCCAGCCTGGACGGCAGAGCAAGACTCTATCTCAAAATAAATAAATTAAATTAAAACCACAGACAGACTTCTGTGACCAAATGTCGGGATTTCTCCCCATTAAGAAACAAGCAATCAGTTCTATAGCGAACACTAGCTGGGTGTCTTCTAATTTAATTCTGAAGCTATCTACCTGCAGGCAGCCTTAGATCCCACAGGTTGAGGGCTCAGTCCCCAAAACTAACAACCTCTCAGACACCAGTCGCAAGTCTGGGCCTCTGGAACTTCTGACCAACTGACTTCAAGTTGGGGTTCCCAAGATCCCCCTTTGGGTTTGATTGATTTGCTAAAGCGAGTCACAGAACTCGGAAACACATTTATCACTTTATTATAAAAGGATACCTGGGGGAAGGGGCGTGGAGCTTCCCTCTCTGGGCAAGCCTCCCTCCAGTAATCTTCATGTGCTCAGCTACCTGGAAGCTCTTAGAACAGTATCCTTTTGGGCCTTTTATGGAGACTTTATTACATGGGCATGATTGATTAAGCCACTGGCCAGCAAGTTAACCTTCAGCTCCCTCCCTTCCCCGGAGGTCAGAGGGTGGGGCTGAAAATCCCAACCCTCTAATCCTGCCCTGGTCTTTCAGATGACCAGCCCCATCCTGAAGCTGCCTGGGGGCTGACAGCCATCAGTCAACATCAGCATACAAAAAGACACTTATCACTTCGGAGATTCCAAGGATTTTAGGCGTTGTAGGCGAGGAAGGAAATGGGGATGAAGACCAAATGTGTATTTCACATTATTGCAGGCTGTGCCACTGCTGATGGAGGCAGGGGGCACCCTTTGACTTCTGTTTCCTTCCTGGTTGCGGGGATTTCCCACTCTCCTCTCCATTCTCCCACAGGAAGGCTGGAGCGGAGTTTGCCTGGTGGACGAGTTGGAGAAAGACGTTTGGAGAGGAGCCACATCGTGCAAATGCACAGAAATGTGAACTATCCCTGATGGACCTATGGTCCACTTTAAAGGCTTTAATGCAAGAGAAAGTGGGAGTGTGGGGAGGCTGGCCTGGCCCTGAAAGGGCTGGGCCCGGGGTAGGGGCTCAGCCCAGGGTGATCCACTCCCCAGCTGGGAGGCAGGCAGGGGGTCAGGCTAGAGGGGCCAGGCGATGGCCTCAGAAAGATAATCCTATGACCTGACTTGTCACAGTTCTTGCCACTTCTCAAAGACATTCACCGCTGGAGGGGGAGGCCTCTTCCTGCTGTCCCTCCACTTGCCTCCTGTGCCTCCTTGCACCCTCCTCAGTGTCCCCTGGGATCTGCACCTGAAGGCAGTGAGCAATTTACCCGTCAGTCTCCCCGCTAGGATGAGGCAGATCCCTTGGTCCTGAGAGACCCAGCTGAGCCGTCTTTGTGTCCTCACTGCCCTCAGCAGGATGACTTTTGAAAGTAGATGCTTCATTAAATGTTTGATAAATGAACAAAGGCTTGAACAGTGACCTGAGAGGTAGCGAATGTTCACTCCCATTCTGCAGAGGAAGTAGCAGAGGCCTGGAGAGATTCTTAGCATCAGAGCTGGAACTGGAATAAAACCCTGTGCCCTCCCCATGGTCTCCACAGAACTGTCCAAATGGCATAAGATGTGGGGAAGGTATTTTTTGTTTTGTTTTGTTTTTGAGCTTTATCGCCCAGGCTAGAGTGCAGTGGTGCACTCTCACTGCACCCTCCGCCTCCCAGATTCAAGCGATTCTCCTACCTCAGCCTCCCCAGTAGCTGGGATTACAGGAGCCCACTACCTCACCAGGATAATTTTTGTATTTTTAGTAGAGACAAGGGGTTTCACCGTCTTGGCCAGGCTGGTCTCGAACTCCTGATCTCATGATCCACCTGCCTCGGCCTCCCAAAGCGCTGGGATTACAGGAGTGAGCCACCATACCGGCCGCAGGGAGGGATCTCAAGAGACTAACATGGCTAGACAGGTGGAGTGCGCACCTTCACCCTGTCTTCATTGGGGTGCCAGCTAGACTTGATCCCATCCTTTCTGAGGTCCTGGTATATTTTTCCCATCCGCACTGGGCCTATGATCTTACTCAATCCTTACATCCCAGAGCAGCCGGGCCCTCCCGCTCTCCACGCACCACCGACCACTAGGTGGCGCC